AAAGATGATGTATGAAACATTGAAAATCTCCTAGGACCTAACACTAAAGGGATTTTTCAGTTTTCACCTGTTTTTTAAAAACTTGGTGACAAAAAAAGCAAAAAATGGTTTTGATTACATAAAGATTTTGCAGCTATTATGAAAATAAAGCAAAAAAACATATACATAACTTAGCTAAATTTGAAACATTCTGATAATTAAAACCTAACGATTGTTCAAAAAAACATGAGTTAATCAATTTCTAGCAATGTTAAAAGGCCTAGCAGCTTCTGGAACATGAATAATGCCAATTTAAAATGTTATGGTGATAAAAAGTAATGCTTGTTCAAAAACATGTTTGTTTCTGTAGTAGATCCTACAGAATATGGGCAAAAAGGCATTATATTAAAATATTTGTGTTGTTCCCTAGATGCCTAGTATCGCTAATTAGCTTCATACCTAAATTCATACAATTTATAGGTGCAAAGAAGCTGCCACACTTTCTACTGCTTATTAGAATAATGATTTAATGTTTAGATAAATCAATGATGGATGGTCGTGTAGTAGTCACAGGAAGTTCACTTTTAACAGTGCACTACTGTTCTGAAAGTGCAACGTGCCTGTGCACCAGCCAATGCAGACTGACTGCTGAATGCCCAAAAAACTTTAACAATGTCATATTGGTTTAATAAACGAATGTTTCTGTACAACTAGCTGAAGAAATAACAGGTAAAATATTCTGTCACATAAAGACTTGGAAACTATGATTAAATCCAAACAGTTTGTTTTCTACTTTTGCTTAGATGTATGCATAGATTTTAAAGTTGCATTAAATGTTAAAAATAATACTACAAAGTAATACCAAATGTTATATAATTGAAGCAGAAATTACTTTTTTTTAAATAAATCTTTTCCCTGTCCTTATTAAAGTAAATTGATAATTAAATTTTTTATTCATAATATTTTAGTGTTGTAATTTTTCCTACTGAACCATAACTAGCTGAAAGAATATATAAACATAAATAATATAAATATATAAACATAAATAATATAAATATATAAACATAAATAAACAGTCAGAAAAAAATATCAGTCATTTTCTCTACATTAGTGACAAAAGTAAAAAGCTAATTATTATTCACTCTATACATCCCTATTTGATCAGGAACTTTTTTACAGTCAGTTTTAGTCAAAACAATATGTGGAACTTTGCTGTCACCTTCATTTCAATATAGCTCTGGTGAACCTACTGTATATAGTAAATGAGCTCAAATATTATTCATTTAGGATTAACTGCTGTTTTTCTTTATTGGTATACATTTCTAATGTCCTCTTTTTATTTTAATTTTTTTTACTCTAGCTTATGTCTCTTATTGTTAAAAGTACATTAAGTGAACTATATCCATATATCAGTTTTTTTACAGAGTGTAATATTATCAGCAGTAATTTTTTTTGCATGCTCAATGCAGCTTTTTCATTGCAGAACATAGAGGCAGATGGGATCAAGCTCTAGAAACAATAGCTCCTCTGTGTGCCAAGCAAACATTTATATTTAAACGTCATCTTAACAAAAAGGGTAACTTTTCTGCACATGTTAATAATGGAGCGTTTCTTTCCCTCAGCCAAACGTAAACAATATTCCCACTTATTTGCATAAGAGTTGATATATTTCTTTTTAACTTTTTCTTGTTGGATTTACTAACCTTTTGGTTTTAAAAGCGGATTTATTAAAGTTGAAGAAGACTAATGAACACTTAATAAACTTTTGGATTTGGTCACAGATCAGATATTGGAATTTAGTTAGACTTTGTCCATGTATATTTTATATTTTTGTACCAAAAAGGATTTTGGCAGAAAACAAGCAAAGAACACTTTTCTGAATTTATAAAGATCACCATCTTAAAAAGATGACATATCAGATTTCAGGTTATAAAAACAATGTAATAATGTTCATCGTTTTGGCCATCAAACATTGATGAATAGTAAGAAAATTAAAAAGCATCAGTGATAATGCATATTATTCCAAAAAGAATAAAGCTAAGTTTTTAAAGACCTACTTTAAATCTGTTTCTATCTAATTTAAAATGTTTTAATTGAATATTCAATCAGTCTCTAGGGAGAAACAAATAATGCTACATTGTCTACAGAATTAAACTACTCCATTTTGTAGAAGCCTTTAGGCATCAGCACAGCATTACAGTGAAATGTGGTATTTGTACAATTAGGCACATGATAGCTGGTGGTTTTCCTTTCCTTTGCTGCAAGCAGCACAATGGACATGCTAGTTTTACTTCCTAAGACGTTATCTGCTGTTTCTATGACTACGCATTGTGGTTTAACGACTTAACACTAATCTTGGGTGTGGAAATAAACAGTTGATAAACAGCCGAAGCTAGAAACACATTTTAGTTACTAAAGAACAACATGGTAAAGCATTTTAAACTTCACAACCTATTAGACAAAGATTAAAAAATTCTGAAAAGAGTATCAATATACTGTTGAAAACTTCAATACTTTTATGCATTGTCTTTAAGGATAACTTAGATCATCCAAACCCTCATTTAGGTCAGTTAGGTCTCTCAAAATGGCTTCTATTTCTAAATATTCATTTGTTTAGAAACTTTTATTTGAATACATATTTTCCATGAGAAATATAATACTGATATGACTTAAAATTGATCAAATTAATATGGAAAATGGTTGACCTCCATATTTTATACTTTATAACCTATCAGGCACCTTGTAAAGATGATGACTTAAGTACTCAATAATTTAAAGTGGTTACATTTAAACCGTTTTTTTAAAACTGTATATTGTTTTTTTTGTTTGTGTGTTGAGTAACGGCTTCATCCAATCAACAGCGACAAATACCTTAATTTTTGGAGGCATTTCCTATGATGGAGCTTGACTGATAATTTGGTCATAGCCATCCCAATCCCAAAATATCAGGAAGAAAAGAATAGAATGGAGAAGATTTTGAGGGAACTACTCAAGCATCTTGCAGGAAGTCAAAGCTTGGACTAAGTCTATATTCCAAATAGATAATGGCTCTGAGCCTACAGCCAAATAAAGTAGGAAAAAAATCTGAAATTTGGGGGTGACAACCACAAAGTCCTGGGGTCTCATTTATAAACCATTGCATAGCATCCACACTAAAAGTGTATGTAATCCAAAAATCCCAAAGGGGTCTAGGTAAAAAAAAAAAAAAACATATTTACAAACCCATCTGTACCTCAAAGTTTGCATACAAGGCTCCCCCTCATGTTTGGCCTCAACACGGTTCAGCTGTAAATGGTCCATGCAAAGCACCATAAATTTCATCTTAAATAATCCAACTTATCAATGTTATCTAATGGTACTCAATGAAAACAGCAGAGAATGAAAAACTCATTTTAATTGAGGTCAAAACAGATGTGTTGGTGAGTGAGGTGGATAGTCTGATATGTTTGGTACCCACAGTAGTAGGGTGAAAATGACAAAACATTTGAATGTGTTGCAGTTCATAATACCGATGCACGTATTGATTATATTAACAATGTCCACCAAGACAGAATTCAGTAATATGCTTAGCGCTGGCTGTGATATCTCAGACCTATGGATAACTTCACAGTCATTTTAAAGATGCTTTAGGCAGAGTTAATGAATTGTTGATTTGATTTTAGAGCTTTGGGTATATGAGCCAGTTATTATGGACCCTAAATGGGTTCACACATAGTAAAAAAATGAAGAAGGCATATCCGGATAAGCAGTGTTCTATAGGCAAAAAAATAAATAAAAAAAATTGCTTTTGCTACACCAGTTTATTATATTTAGATTTTGCCTAATACCGTACCTTTATAGATACAAGGATTATCTTCGGTCTTTAATAAGCTGACTGTAATGTGAGGCCATATTCATTTTTTAACCTATTCTAATCTATTTACAGCTATAATTTATAAATGTTTTAAATAAGCTAAAGCAAGATTATAAACATTGCTTTGATGACAAACAGGAAAAAGTTAAAATGTTTCTCTACACAGCTGCATTCACAACTTCCTTATCCACCTCAGCTGTGCAGTGAACCTCTATAGAATAAGTAGCTTAATAGAACATAAAAATCTGTGATTTACTGACATAAACATTGACCAGAAGATTGGTGGAAAATAATTTTACATGATGTATCGCATAATCTATTCCAGTTTGTCCTCTTTAAATGGCCTAAAATGCAATGCTGTAATATAAATGTAATTAATAAAAATAATGTTAATGTTCGTTTAAGTCAGTATCTTTCCTCTCCATTGATGTCTGTTTTTTTTTGGTTAAAAAAAACCCAGACATGACATTTTCTATTTGTCTTTTTTTTTTTATCAAGAAGCAAACACTCCCTCTTACATTTTAAGAGCTAAGATATGGACCCTATGATGTATTTGCCTACCAGACCACATGGTTCAGTTGTTTTGATCCATCAAAACCTTGTTTTGACAAGATCACTTTTAAATTGCTTCCAACTCCAAAGGTAACGGACAATCCTTTCACACCAGTACCTCCCTGGAGAAAAAACCTTGAGGCAGAGTCAAACAAATGCATAGATTGTTTTTCCACTGAGCTGTAACCACAGGTAAAGGGACGCAGCCCACTTTGTTGAGAACCTACACGAGACCCAAGGCTACAAGGAGTCTCATCAGCTTAACTCAAGACTTTTCCAGGCATCAGAACCTGTAACTGTGAAGAACTTTGTCTGGCATGCATTTAATTTATTCTCAAGTCAGAAAATTTAGACTGTGTAAAAATCCAAGTTAAATCATTATCAGCTAAAGAAAACTTACATTTTTGCTATCCAACCTACTGAAGCACCTCTATGCAGATTTCAGGTTAATATCTGGCTAATCGTATAATCAGTTTTTTTGTGAATAGATGCTATATATGTGTTCACTGACAAGAATGTACCTTTAAGACAACAGAACCAAAACTTTTTAATAAACCTGGTGTGATTATTTTATAAAAACTGATGCAACCCATGAGATCCAAGTAATTTTCATCTTCTTTTCATTACAAACATAAGGTGTCAGTGTGTTGTGTTGATCTTTATGATGATGCTGAACAGTTCAGACACAGATGTGAACAGCCCACACATAAGACTGTTTTATTGTTCCATACTGTTATAAAAAAGTATGACTCCAGCAGATCCTTTTTTATATATTATAATACAGATGCAGAATTGAAACTTTATTCCTTTAACAGCCTAGTATTTTACAAGAAATAGATAACTAGTTGGAACTTTTGAACATGTCCTTAAAACAGGACATAAGCGGGCACGAATCCTTGGGCTCTACTTTGCCGTTAATATCCATGAACAACCAGCTGAAAAGAATAAGGGGAGAGGGGGTGGGGTAACGGGGAAGAAGTGAGGGCTTTCAATAAATAAAACAAATTCTAAGCAAATAATTTCTTTATCCCTTATGCTATCCCACTCGTATATCCACACTTCAAATAAAATCCACAATCGATAGAGGCCAATTTTGAGATCTCTCTCTGTGAGAATTGGATGCAGGGAGTGGTTGTGGATCAAACAGCTGAAGCCAAAAGAGATGAAGATCTCTGAGGGCTCTGCTGATTTGGCCCGGTAGATGTCACATGCACCAGTTTGCTACAGGTCAGTTTGCTAGTTAGAAACAAAAAACAAACAAATAACTAATAGAGGTGAAGATGGATGGAAAAACTTTAAAAAAAAAAATGTTTTTTTGGAAACTTGAGGGGGGCTGGGGTTTAGGTAGAACAGCTGCTGTTCAAACTGGATACAGTCACTGGGATCTGCTTGGCTGCAGTCCCTTAAAAGTCCTCCAAAGTCTCGATTTCTCCCATATTCAATCTCTCAGACGATGCATTTACAGAAAAACCTAACAATAAAAACAGAAGAAAAGGAAAATTTGTTACACAGCAGATATAGATCTTGTCTTTTGAAATTCAATAGATGGAGAACTGAGCTCACCTAAAAGGCTTGGGTCAGCTCGGACCATTTTCTGCTTCTTTTTCTTCTTCCCTGAGGTGACCGTCTCAAAGCGTTGTTGCTGGCTGCTCGTATGGTTGGACTGGTAGATGGCTGAAGATCCCGTCCCACCCCATACCGAATCCTTATAGAAAAACAACAGATAACGTAAGACTAATAAAAAACAATTCAGTAACCCTGCTTTAAAAATTACAGATAAGACAACATGTGTTTGTTTAATTCAATCAGCCAAACATGCACCTTTTCCCACAAAAAGGTAAAAATACATGAAACATCTGTTAAAGTGTTAAAGCTTCAGCCTTCTGCCACATGGATGAGCAAACATGAGAGTAACACTATATACATATCCACACTGCAAAAAATTGAAATCTAAATAAGTCATTCTTTTTTTTAAATAAGTGCATTTGTTCTTGAATTGAGGAGAGACTGTTAATGGAGCAAGATAATTAACATTTAAAATAAGAAAAATAAGTGCATTGACTTATTTCAATCACATCCAATCTAATTATCTTAGTAAAAATACTCATTCCAGTGGCAAATCATCTTATTGACCTACTCAAATTAAGGGTAAATGTATGTAATTTAAGAAATGTTTACTTATTTCTAGATAATTTTTGCAGTGCATATTTTTCCAACTGCCCCCTTAAGAGTCAGAGCATTTTCCAGTTCTGCTCCACCTTAAAATAATGGGTAAAATATGCATATAGTTGAGGAAAAGAGATCAAAATGTACAATATGTAATAGAATTTCTACTTTGTATTCTGCTGATGAAGATTCTCAGTCATCCAGGTCATAGTCATTCCGTAAAAGTTCAAAAAATCCACTGGACTTGGTTTACTCCAGGAAGCTTTCTCAATTTAAATGTCTGGATCCGCAGTGAGTTTGAGTCTTTATATAGACAAGGCCTTGTATTGCTTGGAATATTTGCACGTTTCCAAGCAATACAAGGCCTTGTCTATATAAAGACTCAAACTCACTGCGGATCCAGACATTTGAATTGAGAAAGCTTCCTGGAGAGGTGGCGAAACGTCTTCAAAACTTGGAAACCAAGTCCAGTGGATTTTTTGAACTTTTACGGAATACTTTGTATTCTCACTTTCACAAATTATTTTTCTGTGATTTTTTTGAATAGTTTGCATCTAGACCAAATATGAAGAAAAACCTTTGAATTACAGCAGATGGTCATAGATTGACTATCAACTAATAACAAGTTTGTGTTTAGTGCACTACTTAACTTCTGCTAGGTTAGGTTCTGCAAACTAAGGTCACTGATAGAAATCACCACTGGCATATTTTGTCTTTGGGCATGACCAAAACTGATGAAAAAAGCAAGATCCTAAATAAATCCAAGAGGAGATGGTTTGAGGTAAAAAAAAAAAAAAAAAAAAAAAAATGGTCTCAGGTTAATTAGTGTCTCTAACAGGCCCACCGTTCACTTGCAGGATGGAGTCCATCAATCTATGGTTAGCAGAGGGATTTTAAACCTGTTTGTAGCCTAAATGCTGCTGCTGCACATGCAGGGGATTCAGCCACCTTTGACAGCATGATTGAAACCTGACACTGAAGATAATACAGAAAGCAGGAATGGGAAGCTGATTTGGAGGAACTGAACTGAGGATTGCCAAACATGTCGCCTGCAGCACATGCTACACTTTTTTGTTACACTGTGTGTACATGTGTGTGTGTGTCTGAGAGAGAAAAGTTTTATTGTGCTTATGACAGGTGCTCGTTTTGTATGCAACAGTTTAATGTTTTTAACATGAGCTTCAAAATTGGTTTAGAATTGTGCCGTATTTTATTGAGATATGCAGACACCGTAGCAGTTAGCATTAACTGTCACTGATTTCTTTATCCGGTTAGCAGTAGTGAAGCTAATATTTTATTTTACCATTTACCACCACCCCAGTTTTAGCCTGTGCAAAAAAGCTGGATATACCCAAATGCACCTATAAAAAGACTTCTGTTTTGTTGATTGTTAAATTTTAACCAAAGTAATTACAACATGTTTAAAAGTTACTTTTTCCCCTTTCTGAATAAAATGTGATTTCTAGATACCACAGGCAGAACTTACATCGGCAAGCATGTGTAATTTACTAAAGCGGTTGTTCCTGTTGTTGACATGTGTCCAAAGTTTGACATCAATTGGGCAAGGTATGTTGATGCTATACGACATTAGTATGAAATGGGTTCATTCCGCATATTGTGCAAAATATGCATCCAAATGTGCCTCAGACTGTTATATGAATTTTATTGGACCATAACATTTTTGACTTTATAGGCCACAAATATTCTAAAACGAGTATCTATTTTGAAGGGGATTAAACAAGTATGTATTATCCCAGTTTGAGGAGATATCTCTCTCAGTCAAGTAGCTCTCACACCACAATAACATGGAGGGCTAACACCAAGTTCCAGCCATTGTTTTACACCTAATGTCAATCAATTACGTAAACATCTCTGTGCCAGAACGTAAGGCTGGCAAGAAGAGAAGTGGGTATGCGCAAACAGGTTGTGAAAGAAGTTATGATCTACAGCATGTTGTCCGACGACAGTGTCTAACTTCACTTGCACCGCTTCTCCTGTTTGTATGGTAAAGCCTTCCGGAGTGGTGGGTAAGAAGGAGAAAACGAAGAGAAAAAAAGGCAGCAGAGAAAGTTTAGATTGCTGGAAGAAGCGCAGTGAACTGGTGACAGAAAAGTGAAATGGCGTGCTCAAAGAGGGCCCATTTTGAGTGTGTTTGGCTTAACCTGCTGCTGTGAAGCAGGATTCTCCACCATGACCATAATAAAAAATAAATATCAATCCAAGCTCAAAATGAGCACCTTGATATCTGCTTGAGAATGGCTTTGACGCCATTCAAACCAAGGTTTAAGGCCTTTGCAGGGCAGCATAAAGCAAACTTCTTTTATTAAGCAATAAAAAAAAAAGAAAAAAAAAAGAAAAACAGTCAGTTCAGGTGTTTTAGAAAATATGTGAATCAGGAAATTGTCTATATAACAAACTGAAAGATTATTCCTTATTTCAAAAATAATTTATATTTTAAAATTGAAAAACTTTCTATTTTTATATTATTTATTTAAAAACTCAATGCATAACATGGATGCATAAACACCTGCATTTTATTTCAGTGTTCAATTCTGTTTAAAGTAACAGATTATAATTAAAAATGTCTCCGGACCTTTACTGGTTGATGATTCTTTTTATTCAGATCTCGCTAATTCTCAATTGGTTACCCCTGCTCTACAGGATGACTTTTTTAACCGGTAAACTCTGGGTTTGTTTGACAGCAAACTAAGAGGGAGACAAAAACAAGCAGACCCAACAGTTACAAGAAGCTTGTGGATTTGTATATTTCTGTCAGATAAAAACTTTATAGTTTTAATTTCCAAAATGAAGAAAAGAGTTTTAATGAATTACACCTGTATAAGAAGTTACTTTTTGAAAAATACAATTTGATATAAATTTTCTGTGAATTATGAAAAAAGGGAGTCTACTGAGCACCACTGGACATTTGTAAAGCTGGCTTCGGTAGGAAAGGCAAATATTTTCATAACAAACATTTTTGTAATCGGTAAAATAATTTGACTGGTATGATTATTTTGAGAAGAGAAAATGATGCTGAAAAATAAATTGTCAGGCTCACCCAGAAAAATAAAAATGGCCATATATCACAGGCGGTGTAGACTGGGAGGCAAAGGGTTAACATATCATGGGGCAACAAATCTAACTTTTTTGTTAGCTTTACCAACCACTGCTTTCTAGACCTTTAAACAACTAACAGAAGTTCAGGTTTTCTTACTTGCTGCTTCTGCTGCCTGAGTTGCTGTTGGCTCGGCAGCCCTTGTTTCTGTTGGTTAGCGTTCTGTTTGGCACGACGTTCCAGGAACTGCTTGGCAAAGTCCTTGGACTCAGGAGTGTCACCTAGATAGTTCCTGATGTAGTCATGCACCTCATAAGGAGAGTCCACTTCCTTCAGGAAGGATGCAAACGTAGGAACTGGCAGGAAGACAGATGGAGAGTTATTTGAGACTCAGACTTCATCGCTGGCTGTGGGTGGAGAGGTTTTGTGAAATACTTTCAGATTTACCATCCAGGTTGTTAGCCGTGTTGAGCGTATGCAGGGTTTGCTCGCACCACTGCATAAATGTGTCCTGCTGGCTTTTACTGACACCCTGGAACAACTTTAGCAGCTTCTCCTCCTCGTCGACCTTCTTACTGGTCCGCCCACTCAGAGAGTTACTTAATGTGGAAGACAAAGGACCTCAGTAAGAAGAGAGTATTACTCATATCTCTCAAATTAAGCCATGGCTTTTATCGCATGCTCTGACTAAGACACAGTTTTTTTAATTTGGCATCCTAAACAAATACCTGAGGTTGGCGTTTCCTTTGTTGTTTTTCTGGGTGTTGCCTTTTTTGGTCTGAGGAGGGGGTTGTTGGACAGCCTCCTTCACGGCCTCATCCCAGAAACCCATGTTTGAGTTGTGCGTGTCGCCCCATATACTGCTAGAGTCCGAGCCCCAGTTAGTGCTGGTGTTAACAGACCCCCAAACTGAGTTACTCATCGATGTCTGTGAGGAGAAACACAGTGCATCAGAGGTTTAGACCAACATCAACTCTTGCAATGAATCTCTATTTTATTACCCCATTATCAAAAAGCTGCTCACAGAAAAAGTTTGTGATTGTCAGTACATGAAATGTGGCTTTCAGGAAGTAGGAAATTCAATCTAGCATTACTATAACATTACTATAACTGTGAAAAGAGCGGGAAACAAAAACTTAAAAACATTATTTGATATGTTTTACATTTTAAACCAAAACTTTATACACATGATCCTATTTCATCAGGTATAGACAATACTCTCTGAAGTACAACCTAAATTCTAAACTCATGTTTTATGTCTTGTCCCTGTAATAGAAATAACTATGCTGTGCATGGCTTAACCGATTAAAACTTTACAGAATGGCTGTCTCTTCTAAGTACCAAATAAACTGAACTGCCTAATAGATACAACTTGATTAAATCTCCTTCAAACTCAAATGTAAAATCGCTTTTTTTGTCCAACAATGGGGAAATTAACTCTCTGCATTTAACCCATCCCCTTGGGGAGCAGTGGGCTGCCACTGTGCGGCGCCCGGGGAGCAGTGTGGGGGTTAAGCGTCTTGCCTAGGAACCCAGAGTGCAGACTGTGGGGATCAAACCTCATACTTGCAACCTTCTCAAGCACACTGCTCTAACCCAGTAGGCCAACACTACTCTACAATGGGGAGATAAACTTTATCTGAGAACATATTTAATGCAGTTGTTATATTAAACAGCATTTTTTCCGTCACTAACAGGGAACAGAAGGAAAATCTATAGGAGATTTGGTTCACTATTAAAACACTAATTATTAAGTTTGACTTCATAAGTGAGACTTTTCAGAAATTGAAGTCCAAGTAACATTTTGTCATAATTTCAGTGTTTATATTTGAATAAAAACGGTCTCTTTTGGTTTGACAAACACCACCTGCCCAACTGACCAATATAAGGAACCATATTTATCTTTACTAAGAAATTACACAAGAATTAAATGTCCCCCTAACTGCAGAGATGTTGTTATCATGTTACGTACAGTTTTGTTTTGAGGTCGAGTCTGTTGGCTGACAGCTGGATGCTGTTGGTGTGTTTGCTCCTTCCTCTGCTTCATCTGCTGGGCCTCCTCCCTCTGAATTTCCAGCAAAGACTTTGTAATAACGGGCTGTTTGCCAGCGTTCCCCCAACCAGAGAGCTTGGCATGTGTCTGCTGAGCTTGTTGCAGCGCCTGCTGTTGCTGCTGCTTTAGGAGCTCTTGCTGCTGACGTCGTTGCTGACAGGGTGAGAAGACCACCAAGGTGTTATTAGCAAGGACAGGTCACACGTTAAATTAATTTATAGAATATGAAGTGTCGCTCTAACATCACATTTTGTCATGATCAAAGCCAGCGATCTTGATGATTTTTAACTAGAGCTTTGTGCTTTATCACTGTAAATTAGTACAGAGCTGTTTGGGTAAAAGAAGCACCAATTACTTCAAATCACTTTAGTCAGTAAAGCCTGTATTTTTTAAGCCACCAAATTTAACAGCATTCTTATATTCTGTTAAAGTACTAAATTGCATAATGCAGCAGTTCATATAACTATTTCTATTTTCCTAATAGGCATGCAAGCTTGTCTGCATATGCTGTTCACCTTGCATGAACACAACTGTTTAATTCTGATTCAGGGGTACATATACATGAATTAATAAAAAAAAAACATAACTAAAATAAGAAAAAGGAAAATGCAGTAGCATGCGAGGTAAAAATGTGTCTTGTCCGCTTCAGGTTAGAGGCGAGTTCTGCCTCAAAGGGAGGAGTTCAAGTATCATAGGGTCCTGGTCATTAGTGAAGGGAGAATTGAGCGGGAGATCGAGAGACGACTCTGTGCAGCTACTGCTATAATGCAGACACTGCATCAGTCTGTTGTGAATAGGGCTGGGTATTTTTGCCAAAGTCCCGAATCGATTCGATTTTGATTCATGCAGTTCTTAATCGATTCGATTTTGATTCATGCAGTTCTTAATCGATTAATTTTGATTCATGCAGTTCTTAATCGATTAATTTTGATTCGATCTGTTTTTACAATAATGAAAGTGGTTCAACTGTGTTTTCAAAATACTCATGTATTTTGTTTTTTCCTGTCACATTAAACACAAAGTGCACACTTGTTAATCAGACAGTTTAAACATGAGATGTGAACAAAACTGTCTCATAAATGTAAACTTGTTTGTGAAAAGTGAAAAAGTGAAGCCTCACTCGAGCAAGCAGACATGACACCACAGACCTAAATTAGCTGCATTATCTTCAATGCATATACCATATGTGCAGCGTTGTCTGTATCAACTACAGGGTGTTTGCTGGTCAGCCCCCATTTGTTAATGTCTTCAGTCAACCTATTGGCTATATTTGCAGCTGTCTGAAGTAATCTTAAGTGCATCGTTCCTGCTTATTTGAATGCAGGGGTCACGCGGGTCACTATAAAATGAGTCTCGATCTCATTGCCTAGACATCGATTTTGCAAAAATGTGAAGTAATCGATTCAAAATCGATAAAATTGATTTTTTTACCCAGCCCTAGTTATGAAGAGAGAGCTGAACTTTTATTTACCAGTGCATTTACGTTCCTACCCTCACCTATGGTCAGGAAATCTAGATCATGACCGAAAGAACGAGATCTTGGATACAAGAAGCACAAATAAGCTCAGAGAAGAGCTGCCTGTACTGAAAAATTTCTTTACAGTATCCCATTTTTTTCTCCCTTTAAGGATAAATTTTCATTTGATGAGCAGACTGACGACTCACTGGTTCAGCACCGATGTATCTGAGCATGTACCCAATATTCCCTGAATGTGCTTCGGATCTGAAAATAATGTTTCATCAAGCTTGCCATTTTATAATGAGTCCACCTAGCAAACAATCAAAGCGTGATATTTAAGATGGATTTTGTGCATACTCAGAAGTGATTGGCATCCAGCTAAATTCAGACACCGTCGTCAACTCTACATCAGGGGGAAAACAAAACTAAAACTTAAGTACGAGCGCGAGCTACGAGAATGAGCATAAGACTGCTGTAGTTCCCTGTTTAACCAAATATGCCAGTATCGTTAGAAAACTCTCTAATGCTTCTTTAATAATGTTTTTTTTTTCCTCACAAAACTCCCAAGGAGAATACTTGTTCTCTTTGTTATGTTCAAGCAGAAAAACATGAATGCTTCTAATATTTTTTGTCAAATGTCGAAACATTCACTGGTATAATCAGATTTTCCTTGTATAACGTAACAGAGTTAAGGTCGTTTTTAACTGCACATTTCTTCTTTGCGCATGTGACAGTGAAGCACTGTAGGATTGTGGAGTGTTGAACTGAAGCACCGAAGCAAAGTCAGCACTGTGGTCCTTTTAAGTGTGGAAAGAACTTTAATACAAATTAGTTATCAGCAATATTAATATCAGACAATTATAGAGGACAGGAAGGACATGTGCATAGTTAAGACCACATGCTGATATGCGCAGGTTTAACGGGCGTTCCGAGGCCTTTCAATCATATTTTAATCCGGTGCACTACAGGATTTTATTTACCTGTATTTCATTACACTGAGCTTCTAAACAGTGACCTACCTGACTATAAGAAAAAAAAAAGCTGTGTGCTTTAAAGAGGGTGACCCCAGGTAACAGATTAACTTTATTTTTATTATGGTTCCTACCTCCTCACGTGCCTGTCGTTCTCTCTCCTCCTCTAGTTTCTGGATCTCAGCCAATGACAAGGCATTTTGTGTGTGGTTGAGATTGGATGACTGCTGTCCCCACTTAGAAGAAGATGGAAGCTATAAACAGGACAATAACACTTCTCAACTTTAAGGCCATTTGATTCTGCTTTTAAAACCTAATGGATGTTGGGAATCCTGACCTTCATTTGTGCGAGCTGCTGTTGCTGCTGCTGTTGCTGCTGCAGTCTTCTGAGGGCCTCTTGTTGCTGCTGTCTCTGCCTCTGGAGCTCCTGTTGTCTTTGAGCCTCCTGCTCCCTTCTTTTTTGCTCCTCCTGCTGCTGTGCAAGAGCAGCAGCAGCTGCAGCAGCAGCAGCAGCAGCCTCCTCCTCCAGGCGCCTCTTCTCCTCCTCACGTCTCCTCAGCACCTCTAGTTCCTCTTGCCTTTTACGCTCCTCTTCCTAATTAGGAGGACAGTACTGTATTATAATAGAAGTATTTTATGTAAATAAATACATAGATCATTTGTTAGTTTACTTGTTTACGAAGGAACTCTTCCCGTTTCCTTTTCTCTTCTTCTTCCCTCCGCCTTTCCTCCAACCTTCGGAGGGCCTCCTCCTGTGCCTTCCTCTCCTCCTCCTCTTTTTGCCTCCGTTGTGCCTCCTCTTGTTCCCTTTGCAGCCTTAGTGCCTCCTCCTAAAGATCCAGTATTAAGTCAGTGGCAGTAAAGATAGAAATAAAAATATTTCTTCAAGTCTTTTCCCAGTCTAAACTGATATTGTTCTGTCTAACCTGTTTTTGCCGAGCAAGCTCCTCTTCTTCCAAACGCTTCCTTTCTTCCTCTTGTCGAACCCTGAGTGCCTCTTCTAGACGCTTCCTTTCTTCTTCCTCACGTTTCGCTCTCAAATCTGCCTCTCGCCTTTCCAGCTCCAGCTATCAACAGAATAAAACTTAAGAGTTAACCGCATGATTAAACATCGACAAAACCAAAACCCCCTTACAATCTGATGTGATCACACCCTTTGAGAGCAGATTCTTTGCAGAGTTGAACTGACATTCATGACCATGTGCGGTTACACACTCATCTCTAAGATATACAAGGCCACATTCATTTATCATTTCTTTATCCAAGAATCGATCGTAAGAATAGTTCCATGCGCGATTTAAGAAACCCTATGTTTATTGGCCAATTAAGATTTTGGATAAAGACTTTTAAGGTGTCAATCTATGCTTGAGGCAAACACTCGAGACATGGCTGCTTTCAAAGAGTCTCCATAATCACTGCGTAATGATTTGCATTTAAAAATATTTATTTCACAAGCATAATTACTCTGTTCAATTCAGTTTATGTCATCTCAAGGCACATTTCACTAGATCATACAGTCAAATTGATTCAAAGTTTTCTATCTAAGGAAAACCAGTTGATTGCATCGACTCATTGACTGGAATGCAATCCCTCACACTAAGCATGCTTGTAGCGACAGCGGAGAGGAAAAACTCCCTTTTAACAGGAAGAAACCTCCAGCAGAACCAGTGTGAGCGGCCATCTACTGAGGCCGACTGGGGTTCAAGGAGACAGAAAAGGGGACACAAAAAGCAACTGTAAAAGGCGGTCCCATCCAGGAAACACACAGCCAGGCAGAAGATTATTAACAGCTGCAGTTTAGAAAAGCTGGATGAGGTCCTGCTTCCCTCTGACAGCCCTCAAACCTGCATTAACAAAGTTGCGCAGAAGAGGAAATGTCACACTCTTGCCAACGAACCACAAACTTTGGGCAGTTGATCCCTTCTGTATGCATTTCAGTTAACTCTGTGGGAATGGATGTGTATCAAATGACCCAATAAAAAGAGCAGAAAGACAATGTGCTGTATATGTACAAAAAAAAAAAAAATCTATTTGTAAGGCTGCCTAAAGAAACTTACGAAACACTGTAATAATCAGGAAATAATATTTCAAAATCCAGACTAGTGTATGTATCATGGGGATTGGGATGTTTTGCCTCATTTCAACAGCAAGCAATAGTCAAATACCAGAAATAAGAAGGTTTTGGTCGGGGAACGTGATGCTTACCTTCGCAGATCTTGCTTTCTCAAACTGTTGCATCTGCTCAATAGTTGGAGCTTGTGCCACTGAGTCAATAGGCAAGTCCCACACACTGCTGCCTTCCCATGCTGTGTTCAACATAATAAGATGCGTTTTTGTAGTTGGGTATTTTTACAAAAAGCAAAAACTGCTTAACATGAAAGACAAAACTCACTGGTTGTAGCAACCTGTGGGAGGTTCGGTTTACAGGAAGCCTGAGACGATGGATTCTGCATTTCCCACACAGAACCAGAGTCGGGTACTGGCAGGGATCGAGTAACAGGAGGTAGAAGACTCTCAGAAGCACTTCAAGAACAAAGGAAGTGAAATTAGAGAAAACCCACATTTTACTGAAAATGCTGCCAGGAATAATAAAAATAGAGCTTCACAACATTATATTTAAGTTTTTTTTCTTTATAGCATTTTTATTGTCAATATATTGTCACAGGTACAGAGCAACGAAATGAACTCTCTGTATTTAACCCATCCCCGGAGTGGGGCTTGAAATCAGAACCTCTGCATTCTAAGCACAATGCCCTAACCACTAGGCCACCACTCCTCTTAGCCATCCTGCATTTTAAACCTTCCTTCCCAATGATATATTTCAGTCAATTATTTGAGTGTCGTTTACATCCACACCTGATAAAAGGAGTGAAGAATCAAATATGCTTGATATACATAGGATCTTTGTGGACATAAGGTATGCAGCTTTTATACTCTGCAGCTTTTCCTCTTGTATGTAATATTCTGTCCGGCTCTAAGTGGGCATGAAGGACACAGACAGTAGGCTTGAAACACCACACGCCATGTAGAGTTAGAAATCGCAGTTGTTTCCAACATTTTCAAAGCTTTCTCATGTTATCCAAATGTGACTTTGATCTCTTTCCATGTGTTTATGAGCTAAATCACAAGATGTCTCTGGAGGTTTGTATTTGTGAAACCTCCTCAGTAGGAGCTGCTTGTCCACTAAATGAGAAAAATAAGTAAATTTTTAAGGTTAGTAAGAATATATTAAAAGTCTCATACCTTATCTTTAAAGCCTGGTATTGCTGCAGAAGCATGTTGATCTGCTGTTGGTGCTGCTGCTGCTGTTGGACAGGAGCCGAGTTCAGAGCTAAAGTTTTCTGCTGGGCCAACGCCTGTGCATATTGCTGCCTGTTTCAGAACATCATAGACAAAAGTAGAGGAAACAATTATAAAAAAATAACTTGATTAGAGCTACCAATTAATAATCAAATAGAAAAAAATCCCAGTAGAAAATTCTAGAGTTTTTCCTCTTGGATGGAAAAGTTAGATTTTTCTGTGTGGTTTTAGTTTAATTACCGCTCTAAGAGAAAGACTGGCTCAGTAAACACCATGTTTTAGAGTTATACTTTTCCTTCACCAGTTATTCAGCTTGTGTAATGTTAAAATAACCAATCAGAATCATTGTTTCAACCCTAGATCGTATCATTAATTATAATAAAAGACTCAACAAAACATTGTTTATGGTTTAGAATGAAAGTTTAAAGCTTTAATCCATAAATGGGCTTCATTTGAATTAGGAAGCTTAAAAAGAACAGAACAGATTATCGATCCAACAGATGTAAACAGCAGCAGTATGAAACCTTCTGTTCTGTTTATAATAAAATACAGCAGTGTTATGGAAATGGAAAACGTATGTTTCTGTATATGTCTGGTAGCAGAAAGACCTGTGAGACCATGCTGAATGGTTTCTCTTTGGAAGTGCTAGATAAGAGCCTCACATACCTGAGGAGGTACTGATACTGTAGCTGCTGCAGCTGGTAAAGGTTGAGAGCGGTTAGCTCCTGCTGCCTCTTTAACCTCTCCTGGTCTCCATCAGCCTTTAATAAAGAGAAAAATAAGTCAGTGCAGTCCAAAGAACATTAACAAAAAAAAAAATTATGGCACAAACCGAAATGGAAAATATCAATGCCTCTTAAAGTTTGTTGGTAGATTGGATGGACTATATCACCATCTACAGGTCAATGGATGTAACAAGTAAAACAAGAAGAACAAACATCTGAAGCATAAAAGTCTCATCTACAAAACAAAAGTAGTTTGGACTAGTTTACGTTTAGACTCACCACTCAGCCACATTGTTTATAGTTCATGGAAACTCCAGTCCCCTAACCTGTTCTATACTGAAACCGCTTTTTGTTTATTCTGAATTTCCATGAGACATGTAAGCTATGCATAGAAGACATGTTTTCAGATTTAGAAGATACTATCTGCCCACATTTGTAGACTTAGTTTTGTATTCCTAAAAAAAGCAGATGAACTGCATAAAGCGTTCATTTTAATTTGAATTATTGACAGATGATAGAAACGGCTTTAGCTAATTTAAAGGTAGCTAAGAATAGAAAGCTCACAAAATGGAAGTCAAAGAACATTATGTGAACAAAGCAGCAGATTGACAAGTCAAACGCCTTATCTAATTTTAGCTACAAGGTAGATAATGAAAATCTCTTCTCAGCTTCAACATCAAAAACAAACTGCTGATTTATCACCTACTTTTAATTTGCTCTGACCTGGGCTTCAAGCTATCACTTGTATTTACTATCACAGTAACTATTCTGTGTCGTGAAATTTCTCGTATTTTGCAGGTGATCTTACTTGTAGTGGTGGCGGTGCGGGACCTGGAGTAAAGGGAACCCTCCCCCAAATTTTCATCATCTCTCCCAAAGGTTGAAACACTTCATCACACCCTCTTTTCACCAACAGAGACATGGTGAAGTAACCAGCTTGAAACCAGTCAGACATCTCGTGATTACCGAATGGACCTGAAGATATAAGGGCGGGTCAGAGGTCCAAATAAGAAACAACGTTAGGAAAATATTGACAATGACAAAAAGAAAAGCTTCTTGCATTCTCACCCTGTATCTCCCCCTGTGGATCTTTATAAAACCACTTGAGAGCAGCTTCGTGAGTGAGAGGCAGGCCTGCAGGTTTGGGCTTCTCTGAAGTCTTTACTGCAAGTCTGTCATCATCCACTCCGCTGTCCTGGAGGTAAGCTACCATCTTTTCTGCCTCCTGCAAAAGAATCGAAAAATTATATGGTTTCAAAAGAGGAAAAAACTCCGGATGAACCAATCAAAAAATCTGGCCTGATTTAAATATTAACCCTGATGTAAACAACAGTCACGGATGTAGTAGGTATTCAAACTGGGAGTCTATACCAAAACCTTAGAACTTAACTAAAATCATCTGACACTGATGTTACAGTGGATATATCGTGCATCCCAATTTAAAGCCAAGAACATTCACATTTGTATTAATAATCATACAAAATTGAATTTTCCAATATAAAGAAAAACTTTAAATGACTTCCTGTTCAATTCAGGATAACTAGAGCCAGGGTTTTTAAAACCTACTTGCTCAAAATGTTTCAATCCTTCATCTTCATCAGCATCATTTGTCACGGTGGTGGGCCTGCTTATAGGCGTCACAATATTTGATGTGTAGAGTAAAGGATTGCTCATTGCCACAGGGACTTCTACAGGTTTTGGCTGTGGTAGATGAACAGTGGATGATGGAGCAGAAGCCTCTAAATGAAACAGAAAGAAAAAAGCAAAAAAAAAAATCTCAGTTTTGGGGTAAACACAAAAGTCAATTAATACAAGAAACCAATTCCTACCTGGTAGGGTGGTGGAAATGTGGGTCATGGGGTGTGATTCCAGCATGCTATTAGACATTGGAACACGAAGGGGGGCTTTGCAGGGCTCTGATGGAAGCTCCAGGGGTGGGTGCCTTTCAGCTGGTCTTTCAGACTCTTCTTTTCTGCTGGGATGTTTCGGGGACAAACTCTGAGGAGGCGGCTGGGACTCGGGGAGTGATGTAGCCACAACTGGAACAACAGATGGACCATTTTCTGACCCCCTAGTTAACTCTGAAACAAATAAAGATGTACAAAATGAGTTAATTAGTTATGGCTCAAAACGACAATCAGATCAGTAAAAAGGCTTTTGCTTTGCTCAGACTACAAAAATTAAAAGGGGAAAAAACATTGGCTGGAGAAGTTTGTTTCTTTTTCTTCCAACAACAGAACAGCTCTGTCTGCTCAACAATACTGGGTGGGTCGCCCTGAGGCAGCTAAATGAAAAGCTTTGCATTCTTACTGTACATCACATTAGAGGCAAAGGTGCATGTGAAGGAAGAGCACAGTAGTAAAGAAGTTCAGGCGCATAAATACATTTAAATGCTCCGGTGGACTTTCTTCTTCATGCTTTTTTTGTTCTTCTTCAGCAAACAATTCTTCCCTCAAAACAATCCATTGCAACAGCATCGCCATAAACCTCCATCAACCAAAGCCTTTTTAAACAGTTTTTGTACTAAAATATTCTGTCATGATTTGTGGACATTAAGATCAAAAGAGAAGCATGACCTTCAGTTCAGACCCTGTAATTGGGTGAAAGGGTGGAGTCAGAGAAAAAAAATTTGCACGCCAAGGAGAAGGCCAGCGGCTGGAAGTTGGATGGGATTTCACTGGGATCTGCAGTGAAGTGGGCTGCCATTCAGCTGGCGTTTGACTGGGAAGGGCCATTTTGAATGGCTGCTATTGTATAAATTAACCTTAGCTAAACTTCAAATTATATTGAGATTAATCCATTTATGCAAGAAGAACAGAAATTCTGACCAAGATGATGAGTACAACTGACCTTTTCGATCCGGTTCTCTTTTGGCCTCTTTTTGCGTTTCTTTGGTCTCCCTGGATAAACTACCTTCCTCCTCCTGACCCTCATCATATTCCTCCAAGGGTCTGAAATCAAGCTCTGCTTCTTCTGGGATTGGTTCCTTCGACGCTTTCTGATAGCAAAAGAAAACATTTATAAAAGAAATCAACACCAGTGTCATCTGACCTATAGGTCACAGATAAAATGCTCTTTTCTAGAATTAAATGACATCATGCCAGCATATCACTGCTTGTCTTGCCGCAACATGTTTTACCTTTAGAGACAGAAAAGCGCCTGAAGAGTCAAACGTCCCTGCTTCTTCATCTGCGTCCTCCAGACACCACTCTGGTAAGCTGTCCCGCTCATCCTCCAGGCTGCCACTACCTGACCTTGGTCTCCTGTAGCCACGCTCCTCTTCTCTTGCATCGAATGGGAAGCGCCGACGTTGGTCTGGGTGTTCCCGCCACCCTGCTGACCGAGGCCCATCTGGGAAGCAAAAAACAAGTTTGAACGTGGAACGGATTTTTTCCCTTAACTATCTGCATTTTATAGTGAAGTAAATACAAGAACCTTGGTTATGGCTACAGATATTTAGATATGACACCACCTCCCATTAAAGGACAGTGTAACTGGCTACAGGGTAATTTATCACTCTGGTACTACTGGATGAACAAATCTAAAATATTAAACCATGTCAACCTCCAATATTTCCAGCAGGAACTCTGCAGCTAAAAAATTCAAGGGCTCAATGTCACAGGAAACCTCTGCAGCCATCTTCATCTGTGGTCACACGTAAGTACTGTTTAGGAAGCTAGCAAGAGTGAAAGGTAACTTGAACGAAGACTTCGCTCACAGAGCAGGTCTTTATACTCAATTATGTTCTTTTTTTTCTCCGGTCCAATGTTTTCACTGTAGTTATTCATTCTACTAAGAAAATGTGGCCACTATCATACTTTTATGTGAACTGGACACCAAACCAACCTGTAATCACTTTATAATGGTTTGATTTATTTGAAACAAAAGCACAATAATGAAGTTGAAACTTTTAAGGCACTTTATATTTATTAGCAGTATCTAACAACAGACTTCACCTGCAAAGCTTTACTGTAGCTCAGATTTTTAAGAGATGGACAACTTTTTAAAATGTGGCAAGTTTTCTAAAGAGAAAATGGGTGAAACCTCAGAACTAGGAATGGGCGATACATCCTAAAAAACAAATGTCAGAATCTTTCAAACCAAACCTCATTAACTTTTTTTTTTAATCCTTTTTGTTTCATAAAAACAAATTAAAAATGACTAAACTTGCTTTTAAAAAAAGATGACTCTCCTTTTAATCATCCCTTTAGGGAGTTGACATAAATTTCAAGTGCAAGCAAATACCAGCTGTGTAACATAACTGTGATACAAGTTGGCAGACCCTCCTATTTCACAACAATGAGAATAAAACAGAAAACATTTGGAGCACAAATAGCAAACTTTGAGCCTTCTATGCAGGGAGGCCGCCAGGAAATTGGGACCGCATCAAAGACATTGACATTCGGCCCAACAAAACTGCTGATTGAACTGATTTTCTTTTTATATTTGAAAAATATAGCGGGGTAAGTCTTGTCTTCCCCTTTTGGGCCCAGCCTCAGTCAAGGACCCTTAGAATTATCCTATTTTATCCCCCCAACACGGCACCCCTGCTTCTATCTGTCGCAATACGGACAGTAGAAGTGTGTTACTACGGCCAGCTGGTGTCGCTCAGGTATGGGAGAGTCAGAAAACAGTGGACCTGGAGCCTTCTAACGAGTGAGTCACGGGTCTGGTCAATCAAAAATCTGAGCACCTGCTGGTATTTTGGTAGATCTTTGAGAAAGACTTCCTAGAATAACAAGTTGGTAGAATGTACCTATTATTTTGTTAATGACTCTAAAAATTAGAGCACAGCTTATAGTCTATGAGAAATGTGTACCCTTCTCCCAAAAGGTAAGCCCACAGTCATAAAACAGACATGACACAACCCACCAGTACATTTATCAAAGATGATTCATCTAAGATAAATGTTAAGGTGATGTTGTTACTGCAGAGCCCACCTGGGCGTAGGGGGCACCACTGCTCAGTGTCCTGATGAGAACCTGCCAGGCTCCAGCCCCCCTCATCATCCTCACCGTTCAGCTCGTCACGAGAAGTACGCCAGTTCTCACTCTCTGACCGCGTGAACTCATGCTTCCTGGGCAGTCCTGTCCCGCCATCCTCATAGGTGGCTCCTCTGGCTGTAAAAAGGAGTGCAAGGCCCTAAATCAATTATACTGATTAAAACTAGCATCTTAAGGTGAACATCAGAAATCACTGAGCAATAAAAAATGTAGTCCTGCTCATAAGTCCCACATTTCCAGTGAGTAACATCAGCGTTTGTGAAGTAGACTTACTATGATTGATCTGAAAATGTCCAGGAGCAGCTTCTGACATGTTCAAAGAGAAAACAAACAAGGAGGTAAACTACTCCATTTGCCAAAACAGTCAGACATATATTGATCTTTTCAGTTAAATGTGAAACCAACCTGGGTCTTTTCGACCTGGCTTTTCAAATCTTCTATCTCCCCTGATTGAAAAAAAGTCATCACTAAAAAGGAGCAGACTAGTCAAAAACACGCATCACACAGAACATTGTATGTGGTCAAAACAAGGCTTGGTTTTGCCACAAACACTTGACATCAGAAAATCTGCCTTCAATACCTTTCCTCCCAGCTTTGAGAGCGATGAATTTCTCTCCCCCCACGGCCAAAACCTTCAACGTCGTCAAAACTTCTTTGGTAAAACCCCCCGTCACCTCTTCCCCGCCCTAAAAGCAGAACCACAAATAATATGAGCCACAGGTGTTTAAACATAGATATGATTCAGAAAGTCAAAATGTTCCTTAAAAAAAGCATCACAGACTTAATTTCAAAACCCTGATCTTAGCTTTTAAATGGCTAAATGGTTTTGATCCTCTGTAGGGATGGCTATGGTTATGGATTTTTCATTACTACTAATCCTTCTTGTTAATTTGTATTTTATTCAAAACCTGTATTGATATCATTTTTAAGAGCAACAAATAAGTAATGTCTTTATTATTTTTTTTTACTACTTTTTTTTACTATGAGAGAGGGGGAGAGACATGCAGGAATGGACCACAGGCCGGATTAGAAACCGGGTTGCCCGCGTCAAGGACTAAAGGCCAATTTACACTTCTGACGCATAGCCTCTGCAACCGTCAAATCTGTCACAGAGGTTCTGCAAACCTTGTTGCGCACCTCAAAAAAATCCTGACTACGCGCCAGTCGCAAACCTGCACAGACCTCAAGGCGAAGTGCTTAGACAAAAAGCAGCTGTGATTGGTCCTTGGTACGCCTTTTCGGCTGTCTGTGTGGTCGTCCTTCTCGATTCGGTGCCGGGGCGCACCATTTTTAAAAACCGAGGAACAACTACAATGGACAAGTACGACAAAAGGATAATCGAGGAGGTTTCGGAAGTACAACCACTTGTACGATGCCTCAGACAAATTATATAAAGATGCCATGGTCTCTGCCAAAACGAAGTCCTCGTGACCATCCACCGAAGTTCTCGTGAGTCCTGGAATAGGCTCCCCCTTGCGCTTTGGCAGGTCACTACTGTGAGTCCCTAGAAATTCCAGACCAACGGTGCAGAAGCATACCAGCAAAACTGGTTCATGACCAGACCCAAGTGACATTTGATGTGTGCGGTTTCAAAAGTCTAATCTGCCCTTTAGGCCTCCATACAAAGGTTTTGTGTGCTAACCACTGCGCTACCAAAGCACACCCCACCAATAAATAATGAGCACTGACTATTTTTCAATTTGTAGGAAAAGTGAAAAATCAATTACAAGTACAAAATAAAATAAAACAAATAACTTTTCATATAAATAAAAGGCTAAAACACTATATTATAGATAAAATGCTGCATAATTCTAGGAGAGAAGATTAAGAAAACTAACAAGACAAAATGTGATGAAAAACATTCTAAATAGGCTTAAAACAAACAGAAAAAAGAGGCAGAAACCTACAGTAAATGAGATAAGAGGCTGTGTGAGAATCAGTTACAGGGAGGGATATAAGTGCTGTTTCAGAGGAAAAGAAAACACCATGTTTACATTATATGTGCATCCCGCTTTGTAATTCAGAGCAAATCAGCAGAAGCTTTTCTCAGGCTGGACTCATTTTCAAAGGGGGGTAACAGACTGAGGCTGCTCTCTTCATTCATCTGATTGTACGCTAAGATTCCTGCACGGCGATAAGGGCTGACCTCCACCTGTCAGTGCGCTCACTGCTTCCCGAAGGCAGTAAACTCAGAATGATCTGTGCTTTCATTTGTTACCAAAATCCCAAACACTAAAACGTTGCTAGAATTGTGGCGAGTCGCTACGGCTTGACAATATGGCTTAGAAATCAAATCTCAAATTTTTTCATAGTTTTTTTTTTCTGATTTAAGTTTCATAACAAAAATAACAAATTACATATATTGCTTTCAAAGAAAAGCTTTGATTTCAAACATCCCTTCTGGGAGGAGACCTTAATTTAAAGGGAAACGAAACTCAAGCTGTGAAATGTGGTGTAAAATAATCATGTTCCACAAAAAAACAATAGAAATTTAAATAACTAAATTTGCAGCTGATGGTTTTAAGCTGAAAGCTATAATTAAGAGATGTCCAAGAAGAAAAATTTATGGACTGATGTCACTCAAAGCTGTGGAAGGACAAGAGCAAAATAAAATCCAGCTTTTCTAAGGAAGGAAATTGTCACAAATAAAAAATTTTATCAATTGAATTCATCGATTAATCACCCATTCTTACAAATCTCTTTTGAAAAACACAAACAGATTTTGAGAAGTTTTGTATGGCCTGTAAATAAACACATTGCTACATTTGAACTTAGTCAATGTATAAATACACAAAATGTAAGTTATTACAAAGGCATACAATTATTACCTTTAATTATACAGATTAACCATCAGGATTTAACATATTACAACATTCACTAGTTAATGAATTAGGAAGACAATATACCTTGTGTGTGGTATGGCAGCAGAAAGTTTTACTGTTAAAGAACTTAAATTAAACCTTTGAATTTATAAAAATATTCATGCACTTGTCCCAACCATTATGTTAGTTGTTTGCATATGAATAAATGATGTCAAAAACACAGGTGTCTGTAATAAGAACATCACAGGAGATTTGGTAAAAGCTCTAGTCTTTAATGTAATTATCATCAGCCTCGTTTCTGAATGTCAGGATCATGGCCTAAAATTCAGGATTATTCCTTTTCCAGCTGCAGAGGTTTAGCCTGTCAACTGTGGCAAACATCTCTGTTCAAAGGGAGGTTCAGTCCTTAGAATGAGTCTAAAACAGCTGAGCTTTAGCTATGCAGGCTAAGCATGGCAAATAGAGAGTGATACTGTTACACCCCATGTCTTTAAGAGTGCAACAAATGCTGGGCTCTTAAAAGGCATCTTAACCACCTGCAGTTTTTTTCCCCTCTTACGCCCCACACCACTAGCACAACAAACAAAAAATTAAGCTTGAGGTGACTTATTTCCCTCGATCTTCCCTTCGATATTCTTACCTCTACCTCTAGATGTACTTCGGCCTCTTGGTGCTCCTACTATGGGCCCGCCCCCTCGTCCTGTCAGACGGAGTACAGCTGCACTGTTTACAGACATGGAAAAATTTCTCTGCAGATACAAGGGGGTGGGGGGCAAGGGGGACAACAGTGAATACTTAAGCTTCATCCTCCACTCATACAAATGTCTGTAGATGAACTAAAAAATAAACAAGTCAACCAGGATGCCACCATCATGTTTTACTAATCTATCAACACAGTTTTAAACTAACGGATAAACCTTGTTTTTAAAAAAGGAGCCAAAATATCTAAACAAAAAAGACGTTAATTTAATATAAACCTCACAAAAATGTAAACAAAGCTTTGCACTCAATAATATATTCTGTCTTATCATAAATTTATCTTTAGTACAAGGAGCTATGTGCAAATTTACTAGCAGAAGACAAAAAGATTGCATTTAGTATATCAAATGATAAGGAGACTGAGTTGCAAATAAATAATTTTGGTCGTACTCCAAAATAAAAACAATCTTTTTATAAAACCCTTAATTTATAGTGTAATAAAGGAGACTATGCATTTAACTCACAAAGTCTGTAGATTAAAAAGATCCACATCATCAACAAATCAAACATGCATCTTTACTGAAACTCAAACAGGAAACAGAAATTTTGAGGAAAGAGCTGAAACTTTCCTTTACCTTTATTAGATGTCTACGGTATATTCATATACTACTTGTTTTTACTTATATTAATACCGTCCGATTGTTATAGCTTAGATCATCAGCCATCATAACATTCCACATCAGTAGTCACATTCTCCATATCCGCTCTGTTCCAGACCGCCTGCGCAAAGCAAAGCCTACAGCCTCCGCTGTTCCTTCAGTCTTGCTCCACTCCGATTTCCTTGGAGCTCGAGGAACATGTGTGATATTATTTAATTCATAGGAGCAAACATGCAGTAATGAACAATTAATTTGGCATAATTAAAACTTGGCATCAATCACACATGTTACTGTCCAAACATTTTCTTTTTGTTGTGGGTCTTTTTAAAAGGGATAATTTGGATCAAACAAATATGGTTCTCTACTTCCAAACTCAGCACCTCTTCATTCATGCCTGGGATAAGAAGTTTCTTTTGAATTGTGAGTTGCGCTATTGGAAGTCATTATGAATGGATTTGATGAAACTTTGAAGCCTCTCAGTAAAAAATATATGTTTTCATCAAGATGAGGAATCTGCTTCCTGGTAAGCTGAAGTACCAAGAGTTTGCATCCAATAATTTAATTAAACGGTCTTAGTTTTTGGGAATATATAAGAATTATGCTCTAGTTTGCAGTTACAGATCTGTCGTTACCATACTTTAATTTCACAAACTGAATCTTCTCGTGTTCTTTTTCCTGTTTGGTGCGATTGCAATTGCGGATCTTGACCTGGGTGGCTTTGAACGGACTGGAGCGGAGCAAAAAATAGCTTGGCTCCATATTTTGACGGCAAAGGACAGAGAAGATGTACGTGATTTGCGAAGGAACAGCGGTGGACGTGGAACAGTGCTCATTTGTTAACATGACTGCTCAAGTGAGCGGGGTGGAGTGTAGTGGTGACCGGGGATGTGGTATCTGGGGGGTCACTCCAGTAGGCCTAAGTTAAATTTTTCTTCAAGTTTTTCCCACCTGCTCTTCCTCCGTGAAAGACACGAGTGCCAGAGGTGGCAAGGGTTCTTCTTGCAATATGGGTAGAAACTCCTTATCATGTAGGTCTATAGGGATCTGGATAAGAGGAATACAGATATTACTGTATTATAGCTCTGAAGCATTTTATAAGTAGGATATAGAGCCTCTCTTAACATCTTAGCATTAAAAAGGCTTTAATCAGATGACAAAAGATGCAGTCACTGTGGAACTACCCACCTTGTTGTCCTTTACATAAAGTGCTAACATTTCTTCTCTCCCGTAACGATAGTCTGCAAGTTTATACTTTGGCAACGCAGGCGAGAGTGGGGGAGAAGTAACAGCATTGCTGCTCCCTCCACCACCGCCGCCACCACCTCCAGAGAGGGCGCGGAGCCTTGGGAAGAAAGAAAATCGGGTTAGGCAAAATGGTCAGGAGAGCACAACCTGCCTGATAGAGCAGCAGGCAGGTCTGATCTTTCACAGAAAGTGCTGCAACAAAAAAATTGAGCGCTGTTAAATTTAATCATGAATGTCAATTTGATTACCATTCAGGTCCAAAGTTAAGTGTCTGGGTTTCGGCCATTTTTCCTCAAAGTTCTAGAAATATGCAAAGAGAAAGAGCAAATTAGAATTCACTTTTTATTAACAAAGAAAAAGAATCAGATGTATGCTTCTGTGTAAAATTTTTCTAAATAAAAAAAAAAAAAAAAAAGTCATTTAATGTATGTTATAAAGTATTTACGGAAGCACCGAAAAATCTGAAGTATAGAGACTCTAGAACATGCCTTTAGCTGACAGAGCAACCCATTTAGAGCAGTAATTATGCAACAAATATAAAAATATATATGAATATTTAGCATTTAAGATAAAAAAAACAAAAAACTTTTTCATCTGTCAATGTGCTCCATCCAGAACTCCTCAAGCAGAAAAGATTTATTTTGACCTGGTTTAATTTTTTTTTAGTTTGTTTTTAAGGAACCTTTTGCTATCTGATTATTTATCAATTCATCGTAAAAATAAACAGATTAATCGATTAGCAAAATAATTGTTATTTGCAGCTTTACCTCTATATCACCTAAGATTGGGCAACCGTTACTAACATTTTAATAATGCAACTGTAATTAAATGTTTTAAAATAAACCAGATACATAACCTGTTTAAGGAGCACATCAACAGTTTAAAATTTCAATCTGCTATTTCAGTAAACCTTCCTGGATGCAGTGCCAGCATTTCACCTGTAAATGATAACAGAGGTGCTCTTATCATAAGCAAATAAAGTTTCACGCCACGAGATAAAAAACATAAACTGACAATCATCTTTATAGTCGAGGGCAGACAGCAAAGCACAGCAGAGAAGGAGTCCTCAAATAGCAGGCACACAGAGTGGGCTTGGAACACCACCGCCCATAGGAAACCCTGGAGAAGCCACGTGTAAAACTCCCCACTTACAAATAATTTTAAAAAACCAAAACAAAAATCCGTTAGAAAAGGGAAGTCACGAACACCTTTAGCTCATTTTCCCATGTTTACACAAATCAAATAATCTGACATAAAGCTTGAAACTGTTTACTTCCAAACAACTCAAAACGATGAGAAACAACTTTTAAAAACGTTGTGATTAGAAACTTAGAAAGTGGGGGTCGACATTCTACAATTTGTGTTTAATAACTGTTGGTTAGGATATAAACTTCAACTCCTAAGTGAAAGTTATGTGCTGTTAGCCATTGCGACCAACTATCTGTGTAACATCAGACTGCATTTAACCATAAAGGGAAACGCTCGGTTTAACCCTGGAAGTTACTCTAAAAGGTTAAACCGAAATAACCTCACTTGCCAACACTGTGTTAGCAGAAGTAGCGATTTAAGTTTTATATTGCAACTTTTCAACACTTAACTTTATTCGACCTCGATCATGTTATGTATTCAAAATAAGTGCTGACTATAAGATCTTATTTAAATTATCTCGGCAGTCAGTTGAAGTTAAATAAATCTTTAGCTGCATGCTGTTACCTCAGTGTATTTTTCCTAGCCACTAACACGAGAGCCAGTTGTGCTAGCAGGTTAGCTTTCGGTACCAAATACACGTCATGTAAATGTAATAACATTTTGACAGCTATTTGAATTCTATCGGCATTTGTTTCTTAAACTTAAAATGACAACAGCTGTACTAGAATATACTCTATACATTTAACCTAGAGCTAGCATGCTAACTGGTTAGCTGATAGCTCCACGCGGCCTTCGCGAGCAGCGGCGTTTCTTCGCCAAAGTGCCACGGGTTTAGCGCGACTTGACGCGGACGCCAACACACCGGAGCTCGGTGCTGCAAGGCCAAGTCAACATGGCACGTTAAACAGCAACCCCAACCAACTCTCTGCCATGAGAACATGAGCCTTTAACGCGGGATTTAAATCATGTGAATTAAGGGTTCTGGCTGGTGTGTGAAACTTTGGCCGTCTTACCTCTGCTAGCTATGACAGCTCAGGGTTTGTATCCGTGTTGTTGAGTGGCTCTCTCTCTTCGTTTTCCACAAGATGGCTGAGTGTGGGTCACATGACCAGACACAGAAGCCCGTATGCAGTGGACAGATTTGCTGAGTAGTGCAAATTATTATTCCCTTAACGACATCATGTTGAAATAATAATAACAAAGTACAATGTAAAAAAAAATAAACAGATAGCTTTTCAATCTCTAAATAATCCGCCTTTTTTTAAGAGGTTCCATCTGTCCAATATTCTACAATGAAAAATGTATCTACTTATTAGTCGTTTTTTTCTTCAGGAAGAGCAGAGGATAAAGTAAAGGAGAACAAGTTACAAAAATAGCTGTATTGATATAATTATACCAATTAGTGAAAAATAAATAAAATATTTTATTAAACAAAAGTTTAAGGAAAGATAGCAAAAGCAGTGGGAAGAGGAGAGTACTGGAAGGTGGCTTTACAGTATTCAAAGAAAAGTTGGTACAATGAGGAGAACAGGAAGAAATAGCAAAAAAGGAAACCATTATATCCAGATTACGTTTTGATCATACCAGGTTAAAAAAGTACTTTTTTTAAAAAAAGGGGAAAACATCCAACAGGAAATTGTGATTTTTGTTCTCAAGAAGAGACAGTTAAACATGTTTTGTTAGTCTGTTCTAAATATTCTGTTGAGAGAAGGGAATTGGTTAGTCCATTACAAGAAAATAAATTGTAATTAATTAAACGAGATATTTTGAAACAAACTTTAAACTTCTAAATTTTATTTTTAATTTAATGAATCACCTTTAAAAAACGAAATTGATAGAAAGAACATAAGATTTATTAACTTAATTATTATTATTTTATTTTATTATTTTTTGTTTTGTTTTGTGGGAGAATTTATATATAGAATCCTGATCCACGCTCTATTCCAGTAGATGGCGGTAATGCACATCAATAAGTTGCTTGCCAACCACCATAAAAAAAAAAGAAAAGGAAGAAGAAGCAAAGGAGAGAAAAGTTTGGGTAAAGTGAAAATCATCAATAATAACCTCACACAAATAGGATTCTACAAAACTAAAATTCTTATATTTTTAAATATTATTTCAGACATTTTCAAACATTTTCAGGAGGGCACTTTTATTGTCCAGAGGAGAAAAGGGTCGGTGCTCTAGCCATAGATATCCATAATAAAGGCTTTATTATGGATATCTATGGCTCTAGCACCACCTAGTGTCTATCTGCGCACGCGCCTGGTCATGGGCGGGTCTAGATGGGGGGCAACAGGGGCTCCTGTGGGAGTGTTGACCCCTGTTATGGCCACTGTACTGAAAACACAAACCTCAAATACTTAAATGTACATCAGTTTTTCTTCAAATAAGTTTATATCAGCTTGATTTCAGCAGATAGGTTTTAAGAAACATTTTATAGATCAGTTTTTGTAGTTTAATACTAAATCAGTTTCTTAAGCTTGGTTTACTTTTGACTTGTCTGAGAGGTCCGCAAAGCCTAATGAAATCATTTTGGGCTTCCAAAACTACCTAAGCAGACACAGCTGCGTGGAATAACATGACAAGTGAGCAACAGCTCCTACTGACCAGCGTTCGGGAATGTAAACATCTAGAGATCCTGTGATTAAGTAAATACCAACACCGACAAAAGATTGTAGAAGAACTCCTGGAAAGAAATTACTGCAGCTTTTGGACAGCACGAGGAGTCTTTGAAAATGGCCGTGTTTTCTACTTCCTCATGTAATGCGGTGTTGTCAGCTTGCACTGAACACGGCCCCCCAGGAGCCAGAATGGGGGGAAATGGGCCTTTTATGATGATATGGTCTGACAGAGGAGACCGTAACTAATTTGTCCACAAGAACAATTTTGTATTTTACCTTTACAAATTCCTTCAGGAATTATTTAAAAATTACAGAAATGACCAGTTTATGGTTTAATTAATAAACCAAAGAATGTGCTGTTATTGTTTTTTTTTTCTGTTTGTATATGTGTGTGTTATTGTTTTGGTCTTTGTCCCCATGGAAAATCACTGGACCCACCCTGGCCCCCCTGGTAAATTCCATGTAGAACTACCAGGTGTTTGAGTTATAACTTTTTTAGTATTGCAGTGCAGTACCTCTAATGAAAGCTAAAGCTGATTGCCTCCTGGAAATACTCTCAAATAAATGAACATGTGAAACATGTCCATTATTTTACCACTCTAGATAGCTTAGTTACTAAAGTGCTGTTTTGTTTGAAGTGGCGCTCACCTTACTGGTTATACTAGCTAAGGCATTGCAGCTGGTGCCAAACAGGTGTTAACAGGCCCGGGTGGAGAAAGCGGCTGAAAGGTCGGATCTCATTACAGTCTCACTTGATGGCGTAAAAACAGCACAGATTTTAGTAAACGATTCACAGTTTCAAGCAGCAAAGTGAAACCCCAAACACAAGCTAACATCAATAATTACCAAACTTTTCAGAGCTACATACGGTATGCAAATATAATAAACATTTTACAACAGGAGTAGGTCCCTCCAACGCTGTTTACAAAAAAGGTGGGATTGTCTGTATCAGACATCTGGCTCGTTGGTCTAGGGGTATGATTCTCGCTTAGGGTGCGAGAGGTCCCGGGTTCAAATCCCGGACGAGCCCTTTTTTTTTTCCAATTCCTGTGTCCTCTGCTATTAGGTCCTGTAAGGGTCCAAACGAAGCCTGTAGAAACAAACATACATATATTCCGTAAAAATTCAAAAAATATCCACTGGACTTGGTTTTCAAGTCCAGTGAAAACCAAGTCCAGTGGATATTTTTTGAATTTTTACGGAATGACTATGACCTGGATGACTGAGAACCTTCATCAGCAAACATACATATATATTGACAATTTTTTTCTTTTATGCGCTATCTCCTTTTTGCTATTTCTATTTATCTGTGTCTTCCTTTAGATTGGATCCACTTTTTTAAAACCATAAATAGTGTTGTCATAATTAAACATTTGTGTCAATGATACACTTCCTAACGGTCATGTCGCTTGAGTATTACAAAATGGTAAAACTCTCAAAAGGTATTGACCCCGACGTGATTTGAACACGCAACCTTCTGATCTGGAGTCAGACGCGCTACCGTTGCGCCACGAGGTCTCAGATACCTCGCCTATTAACTCAAAAAGAATAAATAGTGCGCACTATGGTTCGCGGTTTGTGTTTTTTGCTCAGATAAGGTAAGAGTGATAAGTAGAAGTGGTGGACGTCACGACAAGATCTCGGGTTTAATCCTTGTACCTATCTTTTGATCTCTTTTAGTTATGGATCCCGCCCATGCTGGTGTTCAGCATCCACAATGATTAGATTTACCACGTCTAATTTAAGTTTCCTTTCACTTCAACTTATTTGACTACCGTGTCAAAGCTGGGGGAACGATGTTACTTTTCAGGGTGGTATACCTGGCTTTATGTGTTGAAGTTGACGTGGAAGGGGTTGATACGACAGACTGTTTTAAAAAAAAATGATAACAATATCTGATTGTGTATATTAGTTGACAGCGTAATGATGCATGTGGGCGGAGCGAGACATGCATCTGGCTGTTGTCAGGTTATAATGATACACCATGCAAGACCAGAGATGGCAAAAGTACTCACTTTCCGTACTTGAGTAAAAGTACAGATACTTGTGTTAAAAAATACTCTGGTAAAAGTGGAAGTANAAAATATCAGAAAAATCTACTTGAGTACAGTAACGAAGTATTTGTACTTCGTTACTTCCCATCTCTGTGCAAGACTAAACTGGGTGCACTGGAGCTGGATCTTCAGGAGCATCAAAGCTGCTCCTGAAGATTACGTGTCCGTAATGTGTACAACTATCAAAAATGAAGCAGCAGAAGCCCTTTTTCTGTCTCCAGTGCTTACGTTCTGAACGTAGCACAATGCACGATATTAGTTGTAATGCAATATGCCTGCACTATATATGTGGTCTTAGATATATTCTATATTTCCAAAAAAAGCAGTGTGTGTCGCGTTGGTGGTATAGTGGTTAGCATAGCTGCCTTCCAAGCAGTTGACCCGGGTTCGATTCCCGGCCAACGCAATCCTTTTTGATTTTAAATCAGATATATGTTTGGTTCTTAGTAACAAGTATCATTAACTGTTTGAGATTGGTATTCAAATTATTTTTACTTATTGATATTGTATATATTATATATATATTATATTATACATTATATTATATAGCTTAGTTATTTCAAAACATAATATTTTGTGTGGTGTTTTTAGCCTTTTTTTTAATCTAGTATCTTCTCTTTTATTTAGTTATCAATGCAAATGAATTCCAATTCAAATGAACCCCAAATCTGTAAAATGTCTAGTCTATACAGTCCAAGCTAGGACTGTATAAACATAATTATCTCTTGGGCCCTGAACATTCACTTGTTGACTGTAAGGTGAGTCCATGTAAGAAACAGACAAAAATAAATAAATAAAAACAAACAAACAGAAAGGCTGTATATTACATGCAGCCATCAAGATTTCCAGTGATTTATGATGAATGAAGACACATTGTCTACCTTGAGAAAAAGGTTTGTCACCACAATAGCCAAAGAACTGGTTGAATAAAGGCTACAAAAAATGAATGAAGACAGTCAGAAGAAAACTTGAGGAGGAAATGTATCACTGTTTCACCACAGAGTGCTGTAAATTAATTTGTTACCCTGCTCAACAGCGTTAATCCTGCTTACCCTCCTCTTCCCTGTGTTGCCATGGTTTTGCTATTTCTATAGCAACTGCATGCCTTTGTGGATGGCCTCGGGCCCCCACCATAGACTCTCCAAACCTTTCATTACACATTCCCTTCAAGCTCACAAGCAACTCGTAGAAGTCACACGTCTGACTCTTTAATTACGGCCTTTTCTCTTTGCCTCTCGCCCTGTCTCTCTGTGTTTATCCACAAACGGAGCCTGTGATACCAGATGCTCAGACTGGCAGAGGTCTCTGATCAGATTTGAGGCAAAGTTCCCTGTCATACGATTCAGGGCTCCGAGCATTCTCATTTTCAGTAGAAACCAGAGCTCCACTTTAAAGATTCATGAGATCCCTTAACAACCGGAGAACATAGTCTAAACCAGGGAAAGTGATTGTGCATCAGAGAGAGCAATAGAAAAGAAAGGGAGAAGCTGTTGGTGGAACCCAGGATCTGAGCTGAGGTAGATTTCAGTGTATCAGTGCTGGGAGACAGTGTGTGGGTGAGTGTGGCAGGTGGGGGATCTCCACCTGCTGAATGAACCCTGTTAGCATCGGGGAGTACCATGGGCTACGGGTGGGCTCGGCCCTGCTCGGTATTGTTGCCGGCTGCATCATTATCGGGGTGTCCAGGGAATGTGATGCTGATGCTGTAGGAGGAATCTTCCTGGGAGCTGGAGGCCTCGGTGAGAGCATGTAACCCTGAAAGAGAATGATGATGATGATTTGATAATTTCCCTTCCAGATTAGCATTTGCAGATAATGAGAAGAGATACACAAAGTTTCCAATCATCGTTTTAATGGTCTACTGTAAATATGAATCATTAAATCCCTTGCTTTAAAAGAAAAAAATGCTTTTTTAGCAAAGAAAGCATTGCAGCTTATACCTTTCAAATCTTTGTTTTCTAAGAATTTTCTTTGACAAATAAAAATCTAAAAAGTGTGCTGTACTCCTATAATTATAAGCTCATATGAAGTAAGATACTTTTTTTTAACAAACGTATGTGCAGGTGTCTGAATTTTTAAATAAAAGTCAATAAACTTAAGTATTATTTTCAGCTGCACATGCATTTCAGAAAAGATATAGCACTCCATCAATAGCTCTTCTTCTTCTTGTTTAATGCTAATTGGTGAACAACCTCAGGGGGTTTTAGATTTGTCCTTGTAAATCTCAGCTGTACTTGTAGTTTTGCAAAGTTGTAACTTTGTAACTTGTATCAACCTCTATTTAAACTCTTCCACAGCGTTATACCTGTGTTAGTCTTCTTGATACTTTTGCTCACTGATGTTTTCCTAAAAAACCTGAGTCTTTTAACAGCTGTGTTTATTATGAGATGAAATATGTATATCTATAGATATATATATATATATATATATATATTTGTATATAGCTGTTTTTTTTAGATTATATTGACACATATGACAAAGTAATATTCAAGTCATTTAATTAATTTCGGCAAAGATCAAATGCCCCAAATTATTTGATGATTAATGTTACCCATTTTCATGCTATATATAATTTAGAGCCTGTAACCAGAACCAGCTGATAGTAGGAGGAGATGCTGTAATAAAAGCGAGTCCTGACTGGTTTCCTGGAGAGAAAAGAGCAAAGGGCAGCGTTGGTGATCTGTGGAAGTCAACATAAGCATCTATATACATAGTTAATGAGAAATTCATTCTCACCAAGGAGCAGATCAGCTTTCAATAATTAATTTGTCTTGCTAACATGCACCTACTTGCATTAGGGTTGCAAAACTGATACTTTCACTATTTTGTGCGGCTGAGCAGCAGACGTCCTAATAATGTTTTTGGGGCTTGTGTGGCTCAACGCCGCCTCCGACACACAGGCTGACTAATGAGTTTGAACAGAGTGTTCTCGGCAGATTGTTTTCACTCCTTCTGCAGTTTCATGACATTTTAAGCACAGACATGCATCACAGCCACCCTCAGGATCTGCCAGGCTATGATGCCAGGTCTTCAAACTAATAAGGTTTTGTTATGTACTGAATAGGAGGACAGTGCTGCAGAACAAGCATAAAACCTGTGTTTAAAATTTTACTTTGTATTTGATCTGAACTAAAACAAGCTTCTGCATCAGGATCATACCAGAAATCATTATTTTACCCTTGGGAGCTTAAAGACTGTATCGTTGAAAATTCCTGATCATCTCTGACAAAATCAGAGAATAGATCTTATTGGCTTCAATTGTTCATAGTTACTTCTATTTTCCAGGCATCAAAACCATTAAGACGACTTCTTAAAATAAATTAGTTACTTAGAAGAGGCACATTTTAAAGCAATGTCACACTATTCACCTAAACATCGCCCCTTTCTGCTTTGCAGGCATGCTCATTTCAATCTATCCCTTCATAAAAGCTTGGCTGAATATCAACAACATCCTGCCATCTTTTGGTACGTTTTATTTTTTTTAAATCTTTTAATGAAAATAATTGACTGCTTTTACTTTTCAATATTGTTTGTTGTTTTCTTTTGTCCTCTTAGGAAACTTCAGAGTTCACCCAGCTGCAGCTAATGCTGATCAACCAGCTGAGACACTGAGACGAGAAGGTAAGTGGAAACAAGATCCTGGAGAAGAGGCTGATGAAAAGCTGGCATCCTTAAATTTACTCAGTGAATACAGTACTTTAATATTAGCCACAACGGAAACACACTGATAACATTAAAAAATTAAACGGCAATAAAGGATAAAACCGTAAAATTAAGTACACAATAATAAATTGAGAAACTTACTACAAAACACAATAAAATATTGCAAAAATATACAAAAACAATACAGGTATCAATTAAAGATATAGTGGAGGATGTTCTCATTTTTTTAAAAAGACACAACCTCTCCACTTTAACAAAGAAATGCACATGCACAACCCTGTACACGCTCCCAAGAGGGAATTCCTATTATATGAGTGCAAGAGCGTGCACGAGCCCATTTCTCCTCATGCACACTCTGTTTAAAAGTTGCTGTTTGCATCACTCATACAAGCTTATTTTCCAAAAAAAGATTTGCAATTTTTCCACTATGTCAGACTCATCACTGGTGTGTGAAAATGGGGACTAGCACGTAGGACGGCCTTTTGTAAATATATCACCAGACTGATTTACAATTAGGAGGACCAATTACTTTGATGATCCACCCGGAAAAAGAACATCCTCCACTATACCTCTAAGTAAAACAAAATTTCACTTATGTTGAAGGCTAGTGGATAAAATTAAGTATTTCTTAAAAAACATTTAAAATGGGAAGTGAAGCCTGATTAATGTACAGAGGTAGAGCGTTCCATAACCCAGGGAGACCAGCAGAGAAGGCGATGTCCTTTCTAAGCATCCGCTTTGAGCTGGGAACGATAAGGAGGAAATGGTCAGCGGACCTAAGTGAACATTTGGAGATGTTGGGCTGGAGAGGTTCTGCCATGTAGGACGGGTCCACCTTGTTTAAGACTTTAAAGTGACGCTAAGGGATCCTGTGTTGCTTAGATGGGATAAAGTCTAAGGACTAAGCTGTAGTTGTGGACGTTAGTTTTTAAGTTAGGGGCATAGTTGGTGACTTCGTACTTGCCAACAAACTTCACCCCTCTCTGCTGTATCTACTTTGCGTGTTTTTGTCATGACTGCTTATTGCTGCCGTTGACCCGTTGTCAGACTGTTTTGGGCGGTCTTTAGAGCCCAATTTATAAGTGGCGAAATTAAAAACACTCTGAGCAGCTTCAGGTTCTTCTCAGCTTACCACAGCTCTAGTCATTACAATAGATGGCTCAAAAACGTAAGGATTGGGATTTAGACACCCAAGTGTCCTTTCACCTATGTTTTCCTTCATACCTAGGTTCTTAACCGTTTTAAGGTATATACATATATATATATTTTAAAAATATATTTACCATGAGGGTAAATATATGTGTATATATATATACCCATCTATATAAATACCCATGTTAATACGCTGTGCAATAACCCTTTATAATAAACAGTCTAAATAAGAGAGTTCAGCTGTCATATATATAAATATGAACACGTTGTATATACTCCCTTCCACCTTTTCCTCCTTTTGGTACCTTCTTCTTTTTGACTATTGAGCCTATGTAAAAAGTTAATTTCTTCACTGTGAGACCAATAAAGTCAATCAATCAACCAATCAATATTATGTACTCAATGTACTCAACAGCTAGCTAAAGCATCAACCAACCCTGTGATGTCACTGATTGGAGCACAGCAACTTGGCAGCACCCCCGCCAAAATATTCTTAAACCATGCTTCGTTTTTCTTTTACGTTTATATTTTTCACATTTGTAATATAATTATCTACAATACTACAATCTCGTGAACTCAGCTAGTTTGGTTAACTGTTTCATTTCCATGTTAAAAACAAACACAAGGACTTTAATGTGAACTCTGAAATAAGCTGGAAGTCAAAGCGGACGAGGCAGGACGGAAGCAATATGCACTGTTTTACGTCTTTCTGTTAAAAGAAATGCATTTTGCACCCTCTGCAGATGAGAAAGCAATGAAACCTAATATATTGGAAAACTAATAAGCAACTATTTTGATTCGTATTCAAATTTATGAGACTGCAGTCATAAACCTCAATGGCTTTTAACGGGATGTTATGCAAAAGTCAAAGATTAAAGTTAAATGAGAATTTGTGGCAAGATTACAAATAACACTCTCCACCTACACTCATCATCCAATCTGATTTCCCCTGTGCTAGACAATGATACTCTGATGTGGGTACATTTCCCAGAAAACATAGACAGTATCATCATATTTGGTTTTTATTTTCAAAATCCCTGATTTTCAGGGTTCCTGTATCTCATGTGTAAGATTATCCAGTAAGCTAGTCATTACTCTGTAATATATTGTCGGACAGGACAACTAATGGTAGCTGAAGGTTAAAGCTGCACAGATCTGAGAACAACGTGCAGTACTAGAGTTGATGGCTGCAACCTTAAAGGGTGGAATATATGTTGGGTGGCATGAGATAAATGCTGTGTTTCTCTTTTCCCCTTCATCATAATCCATGGTGCAATGCAGTTGTAACAATGTGTAACAGTAAACTCATTGCAGTGGTGTGTTGCTGCTCTCCTGTGGTCTTGACAGGCACTCAAAGTCAGCTCCAACTGGAGCGCTCCAAGAGCAGGATGGGGACCTTCATGGAGGGAGGACCAGTGGCTGAGCCCAATCCAGATGAGGGGTGCGGACTAAAAATACAAATATATAATAAATACATAACAGGCTTTTTTGTAGTCTCCTTAGTCTTATTCCAATTGAAACCAAATTAATCTCTTTTCTAAAAAAAAATCTGCACGCAATACCTGATTATTTAAATGGACCTTATTTTGTTTTATATCTGGAAATTTATTTAAATTAAAACTATACAATCACATTTATTTGAGTATTCACAGGTGTAGCAGTTGTTAATCCACCTTTGGCAGCATTTCCAGCTTTTCTTTTTTAATGCAAGTGCAGGACGTCTATCTTCAGGTATTTTGGCCCATTGCTTGCAGTTCATCTTAAGCTATGTCATGTTGGATAGGGCATCAGTGCACAGACATTCTCAGATCAAACTGCAATCTAGACTCTGACATCGGGACATTAACATAGTAGCTCTAAAGCCACTCCTTTCAAAGCTTGTCTGTCCCTTTTGGGTCATTGTGTATTCTGAATTTAAGAGCACTATGGAACATGTTTTTATCCAGGATGTCTCTTTACATTGCTACAGTCATCTTCTCCTCTATTCTGACTAGTCTGCCAGTTCCTGATGCTGAAAAACATCCCCATATCATGGTGCTCTCACCACCATGCTTTACTAGGAATGGTATTGGCCAGGTGATGAGCAGAGCCTTTTGTCCTCCAAACATTTCACCTGAAATTCAGATGAAAGCGTTCCGTCTTTGTTTCATCAAGCCAGAGAATTTTATTTTTTAATGAGAGTCCTTCTGGTGTCTTTTGCAAACTTCCTACAGACTCTCTTTTATGCAGCCACTCTGTCATACAGGCCTGATTGGTGCATTGCTGCAAGTATGCTGGAGCTCTGACAAGGGTCTTTCTTCCCCCATCACGCACGTTCAGGTGGCTGACCGCCTCTCGGAAAAATCCTGGTTCCAAACGTCTTCTTCAAATGAATCATGAAGCCACTGTGCTCATTAAGACCTTTAAAACTGCAAAATTGGTTCTCTATCCCCACCCCATATCTGAGCCTTAAAACAATCCTCTTTCTGAGGTCTCCAGACAATTCCTTTGACTTTACGCTCTGTTTGTATTCTGACACGCATTGTTAACCTCCAGACCTTATATGGACTGGTGTGTGCCTTTCCTAATCATGTCCAACAACGTGAATTTACCACAGGTGGATTCCATTTAAGCTGCATGTATCCAGCTTGCTAAATAGCAAGGTGGATACATGGAAACAGACCCCTCATCTCAGTTTTGAGCTTCACGGCACTGTAAATACCATCTTAAATGGATTGTTGGTTTTCTATTTGTAAGAAATGTGCAACAATCTTAGAAAAAAACTTTTTACTTTTTAACACACTTTTATGATCAGGTATAGTGTGTACATTTTTTTTGAAAGAAAATAATTTACTACCATTTTGAATAAGACAGTAAAAAACAAAGTGTGGGAAAAAAAACACTACGACACATCAAACCTCAGAAACCTGTTTATTTTAATATGTTTATTTTAATACATATGATAAATATATTGCTAATATGATTTTTAAGAGTTACTTGAGAAGAAAGTAGCTAGCATAGAAGACTAAATAGATGACCTTAACAGTATATTTGATTTATTTACATAACATTGATTAATCTGTGTTGCATTGTCAATTGTTTACATATAAGCAATGATGCTTATCTAATCTAGTCTTTTAGAAAGTTCATGTTTCTTAGTTGGATGAAAAAGTTGGACTAAATATATTATTAAAAAAAAACAGATGGAATTTTGTAATAAATTAGTATGAATATAATTTACATCTGTAAATGCCAGCAAGTCCAGACTAACCGAGTAAAGATCCGTTTTCTTTCAGATTTTCTCTTTATATGTCTGTTTTCTGTCTTTCTATCTTTTTCAGTTCTGTCATACACTGACACCCACCACATAACCCTCACTGCCACCGTGACTCATGCATTGGTCTGTTGCAGGACGTCTTCAGACATGCCAGATGTCTTATCCAGATGGAAAATGAAACAGTCGCCCACTGATCAAGACCCTCCATGATCTGATCATGTGAAAAAAGTGGACCAATAGAGACTTCAACTCTGTCCTGTGTTTTCTGTTCATTTGTTTGAGCTGAGCTGCAGGTTACAATTTGCCCCTTAATGTGTATGCTATCCATGTTCTAATAAACCTAAAGATATGAAATCAATAAATGTATTTGTAAATTTGCTCATTTCAGATTCCCAAAGCCAGGTTGAAGGAGTTGAAACTAAACTGAAGGTTGTTTCCACATGTTGTGAACAGCTACAGGTCTTACACTCACACCGTGACCTGCTCCCCATCGTGCAACATAATGCACATATTCAGGACGTGAAGAACTGCTTCATGGAAGGAAGGCTGCAGCCTGACAATAAAACATAACCTGCTGTGAGGGTGAATAATGCTAAGTTGTGTTATTAAGCCTTTAACAATCAGGAGCCTGAGCTTTCAGCAGTGTCTCATTGACCACCTGCAGCTTCACTGCTAGGCGTCAGGAACCACAAAGGCTCACCACTCAATACCTTTGCGTCACTGAATGCAGCCATGAAATAGGATGTGAAAAATACTAGACTGCTGACCCTTTAGAATGGATTTTAGTCATCTTAATTTACGGCGTTCAATTGTTTTCCTGATAATCTTCTGTATTCTTTAAATATTTTTTCTTTTCTCCTGATACTCTTTAAATAAATACTTTTGATATTTAAATTTGTTGAGAAACTTGTGTGAAATTTACAGGATAAACTTTTATCTCATACTTCTCTGTATGAGCCATGGCAATAATGCTATCTTATACTATAAGCACAATCTTTTTAAAGAAGATCACCAGAAAGATGTAAATTATTTTACAAGACTTAAATAATGTATGTTAGGCAAACATAATATAAAGATGAGCTGTCAAGAAAGAGCAGCAACAGCCTTCATCCTCATTCAGCTCACTTCACGCAGGGTTTTTACGGCAGGTCATATTACAATTTATTAATTGGACACTTTAATATCAAACCAGTATTAAAAATATTACCAAAGTAGTTCAGGATTTAAAAATAAGATTCTTGCAACAAAGTCTTGAAATTGTTTGATCCATATTAATTTTTCCCAGAGGCTGAAGCTAATCATTAGAGTTTTAGAGACTCATGCTGAAGTAGACTTCTAGTGTGTAAAAAGCTCTTAGTCTTAACTTCCAGGCCCAACTAATATTAAAATATCTACAAAGAAGACATAAAAGCAGTAATTAAGCATTCTTCGTATTACCTTTTAACTAAACCTCACTTCATATTATGTTCTTTACCTTAAATAATATAATTCTTAATCCAAGATGGTAACCAGTTACATTTGTAAAAGGATTTACATGAAGAAGTTGTTTTACTTTTTGGACTAATCACTTTTCATTGAGCAACAAATCTATGAAGTATTGCTACTCTTACTTGAGTAAAATTTCTGGCTATTCTTTCCACTGCAAGCAGCTTATGTTATTTGGAGATCAGATAAACATTCAGTAAGGAGTACATATTGTTGGTTGAAGTTCTTTACCCTGATCCAGCATCTATTCATGACCTACTGTATGGATTAGTTTAAGGTTACCGGTATTTAAAATGGATTTGGAAATCTTTTTTGCCCAAATTGTAATTTTTTATATCATTTTATTAGTAAGTATTCTTTTTTTCTAGTATTTAAAATACCACAATCTGCATTTTTATCTTTTCTACATATTAAATAATGGTCACACAATTACTCATTACCTCAGATTTTGGTCGTATTTGAGTAGTTTCTTGCAGGGCTCCATTTTACTTTTACTATATATAGTAATTATATATATATATATATATATATATATATATATATATATATATAT